GCACGAAACCCGCAACGACGGCTCAAAGTAATGAGGACAGCAAAAGTAACGTTTCATGACCACCATCTTCCCCTTTCTACAAACATGTTTTAACCATCACTCCGATTAGACAAGGTCGGACACTCGTCTGGTCTTGTTGATGAGCCTATTTTTTGTTTTTGGTCTTAATGTGAGAGAGAATGAGTGAGCTAAAAGTATAGGGAAGTGACTATGATTAGAATCAAGACCAAAAGGTCTAGTTGCATCGCCTCCTTTTTGCAGGTGGCTCAACTTCATCTCTTTCCTTGAGTATATTAATTAAGCACAAGTCATTTTTACTTATCTTCTTGCCGGTCTTCCTCCTTACATTCGGTCTGTTTCTGTAGCTTCTCTCATTTTTCGTTTAGCCGCAGACAAGCCAGGATCAGCAAAACGAGCAGTTTGAGACGATTCAATCTCGTGTCCCGTTTCTGGCCTGTGCTCAGTCAGCTCCGATTTGTGAACCCAAAAGTCTCTGCAGGCGCTTTTGGGCTCAGCAACCCTTTCTCGAATGGGACGACAAGTCGCTCCAACATAAATACGACCACATGAACACATTATTTTGTGGCAACCCGATCTTAATAATGGGTCAGCTTTTTCTCTAAAAATGGGCGTAGCTGAACAAAGTGTGACTAGACTCAAAGAAAGTATAGACAAATAACATGACTTGATTAAAACCAGAATGAAGACTATACAATCCATTTCTCTGCTATTTTCTCAAATTGCAGGAAATGGCGCACGGTCTGGCGGATAGGACGGATAAGATCCATTGATCCCGACATGATATAAAATACATGAGTACATGCACTAGCATCAGCTTAAGGAACCGTCGAAACGATAAGGAGGTAGTTAAGTTGGTACTATTTATTCTGGCAAAAATAAAGTAATTAATTTATCCAGTATACCTTTAGATGCTAATGTTACGCTCGTCTTGGAAAAGGGTCTAAACTTTGCCTTTCCAAATGAGTAAAATCATTCTATGGAGATACTGGTCAAGTTAATTAGAATAGAATAAGAATATGCTAAGAATAGTATAGAAAGAGAAGTGATTCCTCATTTTGATGAAGTAAGTATTCCAAAGAAATCGTATGACTTGAATACAGTTTCTAGATATTTGCACCAAAATGATGTGTTTGTTGTAAAGGCAGATA